CGCCGCGCAGCGCGAGGCTTCCGCAGACCCTCCCCGACCGCTGCCCTTGCCCCCCGCATCGAGGAAGCACCTCCGGCCGTTGGGCCGGGGGTTGGTTAGGAAGACAGACCCCAAGCACCACCCTACGGCGAGGGTCCGCGCCGGCGCCCCGCGAGCGGGGTCTCAGGACCAGCCAGGACCCCACGGCACGGGAGGACAGGCCCCCAGCGCCTGCACGCCGCGACCTTCGGGCGCCCAGACTTTCGCCTTCCAGGACCCCGCTGATGCCCGGGCCTCCCTGGAGGGGACGGCGAGTTCTGCACGGCCCGTGCGTGCCACCCGCTGACGCGCAGGGTCTACACAGCCCCCGGCGGTCTCTCCCGACCCGGGCTGGATGGCTCTGGGCTGTCGGTGTGCTGGGCTGGGCTGCGCTGGGCTCGCGTCCAGGCTGTGGCACCCAGGCCGAGGGGTGCAGGGCCAGGGCAGAATTTTATTGTTTATAGATGGTACGTGTGATTGACACCTTACCCACGTGGCTCCCTGTGAGTGCACATGTGTCCTCTGATGTCCCTTGTCACTTCTCATTGGCTGTCCCCTCCAGAAAAAGTGGAGCACTTGCTGAAACTGCCTGTGTTAACCTGAGCCTCCCTCGTCCCTTGTCTTACCACATTGGTTTCCTTTCCCTGCAGAGAAATGGGTCAGGGGCTTTTGGGGGGCAGAGAATCAGGGCTTTAATCTGCTACTGTCCTGCTGCCGGGAGGCGGGCAGTCTCAGCAGCAAGCTTAATTCTGCTGCCATCTGCCTAATGCGCTGGAGGGCTGGGCAGGAGGAGGGGGCAGCCAGCGCCCCCAGGCTCTCCCTGAAGGTTTGCTGTGACCAGCGGCTCCACTTGACTCCTGCCTCCAGGACAACCAGTGTTCTTCCGGTGTTGACTGCCCGGTGTTATCAACGTGGGAATCGGGGTTAAATGGCACGGTGCCTGCTCGCAGCCTCCTCTGATGAAAAGGATCTGAAAAGGCTCTCGCTTTAGGAAATGGAGCTTTAGTTTAGTTTTGTTTTGTTGTAGGTTTATGTATTTCTTCCCTTGTACGAGAGAGAGCTCACCTTCCATAGGGTCTCTATTTTTTTCACGTGAAAAAATTGTATTAATCCTCCCGTGAAAAGTCTGCACAGTCAGCGCAGAGTCACCGCACAATCCCCGTCCTTCCACTGTTCTCCAGCCTCCAGCGCACTTTGCCAGCACCAACGCCACCCCCCTTTCTTTCCCCCCAGGGCAACAGGTATTATTGAATTTATGCAAATAACCATTCTTCAACAAAATAAAAATACTCTCAAATATTTTCCAATTCCAGAGGGATCAGGAAGGGAGAAAACTTTGTTTCTATTTAAAAACAAAACAAAACAAAAACAAACAAAAAACCGAGAAAAAACATTTTAACAAATTGCTAAACCTATCAACAGCACAAAAGAAAGCAAAATCCTTACATTAGGAAAACAGCATAATATCACTCAAAAGTCATAAAATCCTATTTCACTACTTCGGTCTTAGGTTATCAATTTTTCTTCTGTTGAATTTGCAGTGTTAGTGTGGTCCAATCTTTCTGTTTAAATCCTGGAAGTTAATATTCAACGTTATTATTGATATTTCATGTCCCTAGTATTGAGTTGGTCATTTTCTTGGCTGATTTTTTCTTCTCTTATTTTTGTATGTGTGTCTTTAGTTTTCCTGGTAGAGCACTCCTTTCAGAACTTCTTGAAGAGTGGGTCTGGTGTTGGCAAATTCTTTCAGATTTTGTCTATCTGAAAATGTGTCTGTCTTTTCCCATATAGAAGGATAATCTTGCCAGGTATAGTATTCTTGGTTGAAACTGTTTTTCACTTAACACTTTGAATATATTTTCCCATTCTTTCCATGCTTGCATTGTATCTCATCAGATATACAATGTATCTCATCAGATACAATGCAAGCATGTATTGTATCTAAGGTTAGCCTGATGGGATAACCACTGTAAGTAATCTGACATTTCTCTCTTGCCAATTTTAGTACCTTGTCTTTGTGGATTTGTCCAATCTGGCTACAATATGCCTTGGAAATCTTCTTGGGTTGAGTCTATGCAGGATCCTTTGTCTTTCCTGGGTCTGGATATTGGAATACCTCTCTAGGTTTGGAAAGTTTTCTTCCAGGATTTCATGGACTAGATTATCAATGCCCTTATTAGTTTCTTCACATTCTGGGATATCAATGATCCGGATGTTTGGGCGCTTAATGGTATCTAGTATTTCTCATATAGTATTTTTATTTTTTCTGATTGTTTTCTCAGTGGTTGGTTTTTTTTTTTTTTTTTGGTTGTTTTTTTCTAGGTTAGAGGTTTTGCCTTCAACATCTGAGATTCAATCTTCTGCATGGACTAATCTGCTCTTAATACTTTTAAGGGCTCTTTTTGATTTCCTGTGTTGCAGCCTTCATCTCTAACAGCTCCATTTAATTCTTTAACATGGTGTATAGTTCCTCTCTTAGATCGTGCAAGAACTTCCTCGCCTCCTGGAGCTCACCTCTTTTCTCCTGCATCTTCTGGAGCTCATTGTCTCTCAGTTCTTGCATCTCCTTTAGTTTTGTCACTGTGACCATTCTGAATTCTCTATCGGACATTTCCACAATGTCCACTGTACTGTCTGTGGGTGTTGAAGGACTGTTCTTTTCACTTAGGGGGGAGATACTTCCTGTACCTCTGTGGTGGTTTCTGGTCATTCTGTGACAAAATCTCTCCTCTACTGTGTTTTGCAATGTGGTATCCACAGAAAGAGATTGTGAGTTCAGGTTTATAAAGTTTCTTCCTCAAAGCAGGAAGTTCAATAAGAGTTGAGGATTTCAATGACCCTGACTGAGTGTTTCGAGGGTCAAGGAGATGAGGTTTAGAGCATAACTCTAGTCACTTTGGTCCCTGAACATGCCAGGATACACCTCAGATTTAGAATGACTCCTGTCCCCCTGACTTCCTTCATCCTGTTCTTGCGTTCCTTTCACTGTTGTCTCGCCGTCTTTTTCTTCTCACCCAGGCTGTGTTTTGCGAGTCTGTGTTTGGATTCACTTTTCTTTGCATGATCCAGGGAGTCGTAAATCACGCTAAAGCCAGTTCTTATGCCACCACCAAAACCCATTCTGAAGCCAGTGCAAAGATGCCGTCTGGTGTGGTCTTGTGCACCACGGCTAGTTGTTCCCGGATTTCTGTCTTAGGTGCTGTCGCCTTCCTGGGGTGAGGACATCACTGACCATTTGTTTGCTCAGTCCTGAATTTCCTGGTACAGGTAGTTACTGTGTCACTTACGATGGCGGTCTGTCCCCAGGCAGCCAGGGAGGGACATCTACCTCCAGCCTCAACCAGCCCTGGATCATGGGCACATGTGGGCCCAGTGCACTGAGGGAGGTCTCTGAACTTGAACCCAGAAGCTCCCACGTGGTCCTCCACCCAAAGCATCACATTTTCCCATGGCACAGCATGCAGCTGCAGGAAACGTTTTGTCTGTTTATGTTAACCGTGTTCATCTTGGGGCCAGCAGGTGGTATAGTGATTAAGACGCTGGACTCCCAAGTAGTCAACCACAGTTCCAATCTGGGACCCATCAGCTTGAAACTCATGCTGGACACATGTGCATGCGTGCCCAAAATCCAGAGGGGAGAATGGAGGCGAAGGGATTGTGGGATGGCCACCCCCTAGGGGGTGATTTCTCACTTTTTATCTGTCTGTCTGTCTCTCTGGTGAGTGCATGCTCCCTATAGCAAAGATCTTTCTCTCTCCTTTTTTTTTTTTTAAAGGCGTTCATTTTTTTGTAGCACTTAGGGAATTATCTAAATGGTTTGGGGTATTTTATTAGGAAAACAACCAGAATCATTGAAAGAATCATATCATGCCCATCACACACTCAACTCGGAATGTTTGAGGTCGAGCATCTTCGTAGTTGCTTTAGAGATTGGTGACAGCTTCAGGCAGTGATCCCTTAAAAGTTTACTCTTTGGGTAAACTTTGCCCCTCGGGGCTGGGTTTGGGGCACCACCGTGGATTCAGGTGGTGCCTGATCCTTTTTAGACGGATCGGCCCCCGCAGTCTGTGATGGGAGGAACCATCCATACCAGAGTGAGAGCAGAGCGGCCGATGGCTTTGACCCAAGTCAGGCGCCAAGGCCGAGAGCAGTGGCCTGTGGGACACAGAGCAGGTACTCGGGGAGTGGCCGCACTCCCCCGTTCCCTCTAGACGAGAGACTTGGCTGACAAGTAGCCTGTGTTGTTGAGAGCTTCCAAGGACACGGCCTCCGTGACTGGAGACCAGGATGTCCTTAAACGGGAGCAGAGGAGGAGCCAGCACTGGGAGCCTCCTTCCCTGCAGGCAGCCCCACACAGCAGGAGAGGGTATGGACTGGTGCCCATGATCCCGGAGGCCACCTGTGAGCAGAGGTTGGTCGATGACGGTCATGCCGACTTCTGCTTCCCTAGTGGCTGCCATGTTCCTGTCTTGCTCAAAAGGTAAACGGTATTTCTATTGGTTTGTGATATCTCAATGCCAACTAGAAAAAGCAACCCTTAGGGACCAGCAGTTAGCGTAATGGCTGTGTTGCTGGACTCCCATGTAGTCAACCGCGGTTCGCGTCCCAGACCCGGTGGCTTAAAACTCACGCCGGGCGCGTGTGTGTGTGCCCAAGATCCCGAGAGGAGAATGGAGGAGAAGGGATCGCGGCGTGGCCATCCCCTGGGGGGCGATTTCTAGCTTTCTATCTCTCTGTCTCTGTCTGTCTGGCTAGAGCATGCGCCCTATAGCAAAAACCTCTCAAAAAAAAAGAAAGAAAGAAAGAAAAAAAGCAACCCTTGGTTGATGGCAGAGCCCCTGCCCGCATAATTAAGTAATTCCACAGGGGGAAGGG